AGTTTACTTGCCAATCGTCCACTTAAGCACAATCAACAAGCAACGTTGACGTTTATTTTCACTGTTTATTTTATTTTACAAAAAAAAACGCGAATATGACAACAGTCTGTCAGTGCTGGAATAGATGACACTTTTTTACTATGAACACAATTTTATGAGAAAGCGAGACTCAACTGAACGTTTGGGATACGATAACTTCCACATTTATCGGTAAGTGTGATTTGTTGCATGCAACTACAATAACGTTTCAGATTAACTGAAATAACTATGAAATCACGCGTCAAGTTTTTTATCGTCGATTTCAAACAAATTTGACGTGAAACTTGTAGGGGAACAATCGCTCGAGCCGACGTGTTTAATGTTATTATGTTTCAGTCATTGTGATTGTAAATTTCAACATAAACCCTGCCTTTATGTACTACAGTCCTGGACAATCTTTTTTCCATGAGTACACCCTACGTAATATATAATTTCAATTTAGTGAAAAAATAATGCTGTTATTCATAAACGATTTTTTTTATGTTATCATATAATTCAAAATTAGGATAGCAGAATTATTTTCTGCAGGAGAAAATACTATATAATTTTGAAACAATTAAAAGAAAATGCTATACAACTAAGAAGCTTAAGTTAGTTACGTGTTTTTCTGCATAAAATATCGGGAAAAATTCACAGGAAGAACTTGCATGGTGTGGTGCATTGTGTGATTGAAAGAATTATTGTATTATATTTGTTAACATGCATTTCGGGAGAGGGGAAGAGGGGAAGAGGGGAGATCTCAGTGTCTACTACATTGGTAAATGTACTCTAATTAATTAAACAGTCTTCCTTACAATTATGACGCAATACCTGGTACAAATTCTTTAGACGTTCATACTTTTTGATAGTGATTAACAAAAGTTAATTCACGAGGGACTTCTATTTTTTCTTATTTTCCATCGAAAGCACATTGTCAAGTAATCCTTTTAAATTGAGCATATCATAAGTACTATGACTTGTACTAATATTCCCCATAATACATGCGAGTTTTCGATCTCGTAAAAGTGAAATGCATATGTTGTCCGGATCTCGTATCAAAGTTGTAGCTGTTCGCTGATTAGAGACCATATGGCTGCTTCTGTTCTAGATCAATTATATGGTAGGACGGTGGTTTACTTAAGTTTGATTTGTAGTATCGCATAGCTGTTTTTGATCAAACCTTGCAGTACAAGTAAACTGACATCGAAATTGTATTCAACTAACGTTAATGATTGTACACAAAAAAACAAATAATGAATTCCATTTTAAAAAAGAGCCATTTCGCGTGGCACTTCGCCCAGATACCTAATCCTAGATTTTGATCTTTCGCCATCTTTCCCCTGTAAACACATGGAAACCGCGGTTCAACGTACAAACTAACATTAGTGCAGATATCATTTTTCAATTTATGAAATTGATATCTCTCCCGTCAACGTTTTTTCAAGAATCATCAATACAATACATAGAGTCTGAAAGCATAAAAGCATTTATTATGTAGAACGCAGGAAGTACTTGAGACAGATTGTGAAATTCTCTGGATTCGACGTTTAAAAAGGGTATATCGTAGCCTGTATTATATGGATATTTTCTATAAACCATCAATCCATAAAAGAAACAATCAGATTATAGAACGCTTTTAAGATTATGTGTTTAACTCATTAACTGCATCTGCTTTGTATGTAAGTTTGAAGGTTGAAGTTCGAGGGTTGGCTTTCTCATGCCCGAGGTTATTACACGCTATTTCCTGTCTGCCAACAGTAGTACTTATGTAATCGAATGTCACATGTTGCGTGTTTATATGTTGGCAATTTGAATGGACAGAAACTTAGGAAGGTGAACTGGGAATCCATTTTGTCTTATTTCCAGTTGTTATGACCAAAATGTTGAAATGATTGAGTGTTAAGAAAAAAGAAGGTTTTCCTGATTTTACTGGAGCAAACTAATCTGCGTTAAACAGGAATTTCTAACTGTGTGTCGGGCAGATTTTGAATTTCTTATCACAAACAATTAGATTACATAAACTGTTTAGTAGAGGATATGAATGTAAAGCCTAAAAGATTATGATCGTTACTAAGAACTAAGAAGCGGAAATAGAGTTATTCGACATTCATAACTGAACAAGATGTTAAAGTCATAATTGACGCAGACAAAGCCGTCTTCTTGGTGATTTGTTTTAAGTAGAAAACTGATAACGACTTGTTTCGAACGTCGTGAATAGTAGCACTAATTTCAGTGTTTAAATTAGCGTGGCGCTAGTAAAACCATAGAATGTGATGACCTACCTAGTTTTTTTAAACCTACTACTGATTTGATGACCATTCTGCTATGTATACTAGATTATTAAAGTAAGGACTATACCCTAATTGTTGGAAGCGTGCCAAGTAAGGTTCCTTTTTCTTTTTAATAGTGTTGATCGTACTAAAGTTGAAAAAACATATGTGTGTGTGTATCCTGTCTGATATTGCTACAGTGTTTGCAATAATATTGTATAAACCATTGTATCACCGTGAAATTATTGTACGAGTTAGAACGGGAGATTGTGTGCGTCAAATCTTATCTTGTTTTTATTGAAGGATGTTTACAAGGCAATTATTATTAGAAAACATTGTTATTTACGTTGTATTTATGATGGTTTGCGCCTTGTTTGAAAAATTGTATAGTATTCGTTTCGAATGGAATCCAATTTCTATGGGTTCATATCTGTGAAGCTTTTTAATACGTTGAGGAAACCATATGCCATCACATGCCAATTCAGAACTAATAACGTGCAAGGTAATTTTACTGTTTTAAAACTCAGTATTCACAACGTTGTTTTTTCGGAGTATGTCCGGGTATTGCAAACAATGCAATGAGGGTTATTTATTGCTGTATCGATATTAGAACGGGTAACAATAATTAATTGGGAGTAATTCTTCATTATAAACTGAATTTATTATCGTGTCAAGTATATTATCAGGCGTGATAGAAAGGTCATTGGCTTCTATTAATGTGTCACTATTCTTTTAAAGAATGCATTGTATTTTCGGGATTTTAGTTACTGTGAAATAAATAAAATAGAAGGCACTCCGAATGTGCAAATTTCTCCTATATATGTAAATTAAAATATACTAACTAATATATCTCTACTCTATTGTATCGCTATGGGTTCTCGTGACACTAAATATATCATACACTCACATAAGCTTCGAATTTTTTCTTGAAAAGAAAGACCACATTGAGGCGAGAACAAATCAGACAATGGATCTATCTGCAAATATGATAGCATCTTTGAAAATGGACTCCATAACTCTACGAACATTTAACTAATTGATACAATTTTTACTCCTGATGAGAACCAATTTTCAAATTGTTGAGATATCAAAAAAAAAATATTTCCGAAAATATTTTCATAGCAACCAGATCTGCATCGCCCATCAAAATCGAATCGATTGGTCCATGTCAAGGACTATACCTCATAACAATTGCATGAGAATCCATCCATAACAGTTTGAGTCATAAATGGAAACAAATTATTTACCATCTTTACTAACATTTAATGGAATGCTGCTTGCGTCAATCTCTCTTGAACATTTCGTGGACAAACAAACAAACTTACGTCGACAAAACTTAACCTACTTGATAATAAACAAATATTCAACATATTTAGATGACGAGGAATAAAATAACGGTTATATAAAATTGTTCTGTGAATGTAATCATGATTGTAATATGGACCCCATCTCAATTTAATTACAAAAACAAGTAACTGTACATTTCCAAACAAAAACAAGATTATAAACTTGATTGAAAGTTGAACGGATACAGTGTGTCAGGCAATGGCATGTCAGGTTACATATTGAGTAACCATTGAATGTGGTTCCGTTATACAAACTCATTTACATTTTTTTGGTTTGATGTGCATGGATATGTTAGTGGTTATTTTGAAATGGGCAAAAAATGTGTTTTCGTGTATGAACTATCCAATGAATACAATAATATTGTAACATTTTGTTTTGAGAAGTAGTAACTAAATTTAAGAGAATTGGTCAATGTTGAATAGAATGGTCCAGACTAACCTTGATTCAACATTATTGCTTGGTTTCCTTGCTCATACGTGGATGTTTCTTTTTAGTTATAATTTATAGTTAGCATTAACACTATGCAATAACTGTTTAACGCTCGTCAAAAATATATCCAGTTGTTGTCTCCCCTTTCTAAAAACTATGTTTTTTTAATATAGTGCATGGACTAATAGTGTTGTTCCAGTAAATTCACTACCTTACAATGAAATCCACAACCATTGTAACAGCCCGAAAATGCCGGTCTATAACAACAAGTTCATAAGGTCAGAAGCGATTCGATCTTCTTAAAATTCATTATTTTCATCTACATACATTGATCGTCAATGTATGTGTTTCGTCCAACTCGTTAAACGTTTTCTAGATTGACCGGTCTAACATGTACATTTCAATGATATCTACATCTGTATATGGCAACATGTTCTGTAAAGCTGTGTTCTTTCAAAAGAGGAAACACACATGAGATTGTCGTCTGCAAAGTACGTACAGTGTCTGAAAGGTGTATGTAGGGATTGTATATCAATTTCCATTGCGTGGTAGGATTGAACAGCATTGCGAGATTCATATTGACAACGATGCGATTCCAAACGGAGAAGAGGGGGGGGTAAATAAGAAAGCTTTTTTTGCCATGGAAATTAAAGCGAGATTGCCACCTGCTCCCTGTGGCAAACTAGAAGTGTCACCATGGAAACATATCAACGAATTAGTATAATGCGTGCTATCTGCAGGATTATGATTCCAATGGGCAGGAAAAATGCCATATAAATCAGTCCCTGCATTATAATAGGCGTGTCTTGATTGGTTAAGGTAAAAAGCGGCTCTTCTCAGAGACTCTCAGACAGTGCATATGACAGTGATGAATCGCGAAACATCCTGTTTGTTACGCTGTACAACCCTTAATGAGCAGATTTACTAGTAGATTATCATCGTCCACTCTTGACAACTTCGAAGCTATTTCGAATCTTGGCTGGGAAAAAAAACTCTACGAACATTCTTCTACACGAACATTCCGAACACGGAAGAGGAAATTAACCATTCATAATTATACCATATACCCTGCAGGATTATTTCTGTTAACCGTGTATAACGCAATGGGATGCGGAAGCTCCAAAATAAATGGCAATGTAGTGGAAGAAAAGCCAGAGCTGACAAAGGAACAGAAGGACACGCTGATACAAACGTGGCAAAATTTACACGCCGATTTAGAGAGAATTGGAATGCTGATGTTCATGGGGTAAATCTTTATTTTATTTTGAAATATTTTAAATACTATAGTATACATGCTGTTCTTTGTTATGTTATGTTGAAATTCATTTTCATTTTTTAGTTTTATTTTCGGACCTGAAATATATATATACATGGAATTCGCGCGAATATGTCACTACACCAATTATACACTTATGTAGTATGAGCGCTGTGTACAGTTGCATCTTCAAAACAGAAAGCAAACATGGATTGAGATAATACCGCGCAATGTGTTACGTCGTTTCCTATACAACACTGTAGTCACTTTGGTTATATTTGTTGTATCCGTATCTTTAGATGTGTCTTTCAAATGTTTTTAACGGGTATAAAAATGCCCTTTTCCCATCAGTGGATATAAACTAACATACAACGTTGGCTAGGTTTCTTTTGCAATTAAAATACTGTTCATCTCCGCTAGGTTGTTCGAACACAATCCGGAAATTAAGGAGTTTTTTGTCGGCGCTGACAGTCGTGATATGAAAACGGAAGAGCTCAGGTACAACGAAAAACTGCAAGAACATGGTATCCGCGTTATGGGTTTGGTCGAGAAGATCATATCAAGTATGGGCTTTGAAGACGAGAAAATTGACCAAATGGTTGTGGATCTCGGTAAACGTCACCTGGGATATGACGTACACATTCCTTTTATCGATGTAAGTATTGCAATTACTAGCTAGCCAAAGTAGTGAAAACATTATACACAATCATTAGAGTACGATAAACACATAGCTTGTTTTTTTTTTCTTAGATTTGTATTTGGTACACAACACTATACAATAAAATGCTTCTTGTCATTAGGTAGGCCCCATATATTAGCACACAGTGTATCTCCGCTAACATGACATTTTCATCAACACAGCATGTTATTTCATGTAACGTATATGATCATTATTTTCCGTTGTTATTTAGTTATTCGGCAGGCAGTTTGTCTTCGCTATCAAGCCGACCCTGCATACACACTGGACGGCTAACGTGGAAGAAGCGTGGACGCAGTTATTCAAGTACATTGGCTACCTTATGCGGTATGGATACCATACAAAACTACAGCAAGTACAAAAGAAGAATTCGTAGTACTTTTACATATTTGAGGTCATTTAATATATTTAAATTACTGACAACATCTGTGTTACCTTCGAAAGTATTATGATCTGTATAATATAAACACTTCTTTCGGAACGTATACCTAGGTGTTATACCACTTCATCATTACGCACATGTATTTGATTGATAATACGCAACTCGAGTCAGGTTCATTTCAATGATATAACCAATAACATGCCCGGACCGTTATGCTCCATTCGGTCGCCTTAGTAAATTGCAACGGGGCTGTCAATATGAAAGAGTGATTGATTTTTCTCACATTCCTTCTTTAACGCATTTCTGAACTGCAATTTCGATTACAATCTACATCTTGAATGTGTTGAAGAGGTGCACTATTATGAGAAATGTTTGCAATAAGTATTCATGCTATCAATCATATTAGTCGGGGATTATTAAACGTGTTTTTTTTTCTAGTTGCCATCTGATAAACTGATTACATCAGATAGTTTAACGTCACACTGTACTTGTAAATGCACGGTGTAATTCTGATGGGTCAGGGAGATAATTATGCGTGTTTTATTCGAACTATTGTACTATATTTTAAAAAAAGCAAATAAACTGTTTATACTTACTCTACCGTATATATACATTGTAAATTTATAGCATCTTATTAGAATTTTAGTTGAAATAAATTATTTTACAATAATTATATAAGTCGTGCTCTGTTACTTAATTATATTCAACACGCTCTGTCTGTCTACTTATATATATATATATATATTAAATACAATCTTCCCACTACAAGGTCATCGAACTAAAGTACAGCCCTTCAAGTTGTGCGTGGTATTGTTCAGACAAGTACACCATTGCAAAGTCACTCGTGTTTGTACCTACACACCCGTCACGACTGTGTAAATAAACATAGTGACGCAGAAGAATGTCAAGGACACATCTGTACGCCTTTCGGCGATTGCACGTATTTTTTTAGGTAGTGTGCAAGGTTAGAATTTTAATCCGATCACGGGATTAAAAGTGTTATTTATCTTCTTCCGCGGCCACTCCCCCCCCCTACACACACATCATATCGACATTAAACGTTTCTAATTTTGCGTCCGTTAAAACACAGTACCTGCGTTTTTGAATTAGATGGAAAGTATAGATTTATTAGTATATCTACAAAATAATTTACACTAGGGTTTCCTTGCCCGCAAAATTTTGGTTATATGCCTCTCATTTTTCCATTTGATTTATCAAACAAAATAACTGACGATCACCATAAGGCCGTCGTGTAATGATTGATGTGAATTAAACTTACCTGAACGCGTGACGTGGCGAGGATATCTACAATTGCAGTGGGTACAAATTATAAATAATAAACGATTCGCTTTTGCAATTAAATAGAACACTCGCGTTTCTTTAAGCAATCATATTAAGTACGGGAATTGTCAGTGAAGGACGCCACTCTGTATAATATTTCAATCAATTTGACAAAGGGTTTTCATCCTAATCATATATAAGTCCAAACACGCCTTCCTTGCACAGCCGGTAGAGATGTAGCAATTTTGTCACAGTAGGTCTTATATTCGGACCGATTGCTTCTCTGTCACCGTACGGCCATTATAATTTTAATCACAATTTCCTTTCAGAGTGACTCTATTAATGAGTTGCTCCTAATGAGAATTATAGATTGACTTCCGTGCCTGATTGACTACATGTTTTACAACAATTTGATTCAAAGCCTGATTCTCGGATTCCGTTGCCGTGGAAACGAAATGCGCGTGCTCTATTATACTTGACTACACTGGTTAGGGACGCCACCAACAGTCGGCCGAGGAATGGCACCGGCCTGTAAATGGAGATATTGCAATGTTGTCAGTGACGACAGAGTATTGTGTAGCGGTACAAGTAAGGGCTCATACATGATAAACACATCCCCTGAATGTCAATGTGGGTGAAAATATGCTGAGCAGATTACTTCATCCGAATGGATGATTTCCCGTTCACTGCCAGCCCTCGGATGACTGCCGCGGAAATCGAATGAATTGCTACTTGTTATTAGTTTAATGTCTAAATGCTTGACTTTGAAAGAGGAGTATGTCGTTGAAATACCCTTATTTAATCAAAATTTACCATCTTCAAGTGTGTATGGCACATTATTGAGTGTGTAAATAACCACAAAATAGTTTCGCGTCTGTCAAAATCACACGCGATGTTTTGACGCCATTGTGACGCTGTAACCTGATTTTATGTTCAATTTCACGCATAACCCGGGATCTCGCAGTGAGCGGAAAATAGCCTGAGTATAGTGTCAATATCATCTACACAGTATATACGTGTATATGACTTTGACTTCAAATATAGTATAGGTTTTCACAAAATAAATTTCACAGTAATTATTCTTTATAGAACAATTGAATTGAACCACATAAAATGAATTCACATAAATTGAAAATCAGTGATACGTTAGATGCAAACTGTTTGTGAAATATCAAAATCAAAATAGAAATCGAATAGGACACCCAATTTTTTTTCTTGAAAAATCTAGAAACATAACATTAACAGCGACGTAGTTTAACCTTTTTTCAAACTTCTATTTTGTTTTTGTTCGCACTAAAATATGTTGTTCATTTTTTCATTCATTCAGGTAGACAAATCTTCAGAATAGGTAAATTTAACAAATCTCGTCTTCATATTTTGTTTCGGGTTGTCAATTTTGAACACATAGTATGTTCCATTTATAATAGAGCTCTGAAATTAATGTGGTGTACATCATGATTGCATTTTCAGATATAGTGTATATTAAATCTAATCATTTAACTAAATTGTACAACAATTGAAGACATTCGGCATGTTTCCGAGATTTGGTAATCGACGAAAATGTTTGTGTTATTTTGAATGTTATGACTTTACTGTGCTGTGTCGTATATGGGCTCTAATTGTAGAATTCTGATGCCCAAATAACAGCTAAGTTAACTGTGCATGATATCTAATATCCACGAGTTGTGATAAACGACTTGTACTTAATATGCACGGACATGGCCCCCAAAATAATCATGTCTGCGTATTACCCCAACGCACCTGTGTACTAAATTTAATAACTATTCGCTCAGAAGTTATTTTACCTACATGGACATATACATCAAACTCATTACCTTCCCTATGTGCTTCGGAACTATTACTAGTGTCATGAATTTGTTTTTGCGTATCTGTTGATCGACTTAATTAGCTGATTACGAGCGAATTGCTGTGTTATGTCTGTCATCGTTTAGGCCTATTTGAAGTTTTGGACGGAACTTGTCTCAGTGATTTGGAACTAATTACGAGATAACCGTAGCTATTCAGACTATTATTTCTGACAGTTGGTATTCGTAGTTATTAATGTAGTGAACGATTAATCAAAAGATATGACGTATTCAGTACTTAGTGTGATTGGCTTTATGATTGAAGGTTACGCCCTAGAGTCTTTTTACTGCATTGTAATTGGTTAAGGTTTTGAAAATGAATAAAGAGAGTTTTGAGTTGGTCTTGGCGAGTACTCCACGAGAGGCAGTCGAGAGTCCAGTCCTAGAGAGTCTTGACACAGTCTTGGACAGAGTCTTGGGTCAGCCTTGCGATAGTCTTGGGGATTTTTCCCCAGGGCGCTGTGTCTTAAAGAGTGCTCGACTGATCGACTAAGACGAGAGTTGAACCGTATTTCGTTGTGTGTGTCTTATTTGACTGTAAGGTTTAAGTGACTTCCCCAATCCCGTACCTCAAGGGGACGAGATATAGAGACGAGACGAGATCCCTCCTGACAAGTGTGGAGAACCCGAGAGAAGAAGAATTTACCCCTGATACTAGTATAAGTTCAGAGGGCAGGAGCAGCCAGAAAGTATTTTACATTTATCACATCTCACTGCTGTTACGCATGATGTGATTGGTTGAGACTCGGTCACATGACATTGAATAAAAATTGATATTACATGGTATATTGCCCGAAAAGTGGATGTTACATGGGTATATGACATTGAATAAAAATTGATATTACATGGTATAATGCCCGAAAAGTGAATGTTAGATGGGTATATCACATAGATGACGTCACTGAAATTATTGCGCAACGATACTGCGCATAACAAGTTGTCGTTCGTTGCACTGGTGCTGCCCCCAGCTGTTGCTTTTGGGGTTGCTTTCAGGGTTTTGAAGGAATTTTAGCCATCCGAAATAGACAGCGCACGTGCCAGAATGGATATTAAGTAAGATACTTTGATTTAATGTTTAGGGTATTATTATATACACTGTATATAAAATATGTTTTTGAAATGCAGTCTCTCACCCCCTTGGCTATTTTCGCCGATTTTTCGTCGCCGGAGCGATTCACGTCCCAAATTTTGGTTCTCCGGGCGTCTCTAATAAATACCCTATCTAACCGCTGGACTGAATTAGCTAAATTATGAAAAATTCATAGAAGATTGGGCAGTGGCGGATCCAGAGGGGGGGGGGGGCT